GGAGTATTGATTTTGCTATTGTTTTGCTCACGAAGAGTATTCAACAAGAACCCCAAGAATTCGGAACAATCCTCTTGTTGTCCTAACGAGTATCTAGTGGACTTCAAAGACTCCAGGAAATCGGTTGGAGGGAAAGATGATACCTTCTTACGAAACTGCAGCTGCATGAACAGTTGTTTGAGTTCGATAAATAAGCAGGAAACATTCCCGTTCTCGTTCATCATTAAAACTTCGTTCTTGAAATTCTAACTTAATATGCAATGGTGGAAGTATAATTTTGTCTCTGCTCACCAACGGCTCTCTGATTACGATAGCTTTACTGACAGTTAAAGAATTTCTTTCAGGCCAAACATCTTGTTCCCAATGACGTTGCTTTGCTCTACTGTCCCACATACAAAATGAAGCAAGGGTATTTCGTGAATCTACTTTGTTGACCAAGTAAAAAATTAACCATTTTTAAATCCACACAGATCGACCATTGATGCTCCGAGTAATTGATTTTTTCTAAAACTAATCTGACATTTTCATATTCTTCTTTGAGTTTTGTAGAATGGACAATTGGAATTGATGCAAATTTATTTCCATTATGCAGTAAGACGCATTTTAAACTTTTTTTACAGCTATCAATGAAAAGACGCCACTCAGTAGGTTTGTATTCTTTCAAACCCATGTCCAGAAGCAGCTTCGCAATATTATTACAGTATACCAATCCTTCATTTTTATCAGAAAATTGTAATAGCTCACTGTCACTGCCAATAAATTTTTTTCTTTCACTCTTGAAGCTAACAGTTTTGATCCTTGTTTTGATAAATTTAGATCACGTATTTAATCACTGAGTTCATTTTGAGAAAACAACTTTGGCGTAGATGGTTCACCCTCCCATTCACTTCCACTGGTAGACTGATTCGATTTAAATAAAGAAAAATTTTTCGTTTTTTTGGAATATCTGAGTCGCTTAAATATGTCATTCAAATAAAGTAAAATATTGTTTAGCTTGGTTTTGAAGCTGATACTTACTTTGAGGTATGCCATTGTGAGCAAGGGCAATAAGGTGAATGGAACTAAATATAAGAGAGCAGGTTGGGCGGCTTTGAACAATTCTGATGTCACAGTGGCTGTCAAGAGTCCCAGAAAGTATCCGAAGAGAGAGCAGTGAAAATAGGTGAGACGGGATCCGGACATACCTTGAGATTTCCTATAGGCATCATAACGTAGAACAAAACAAAGCAACAATCCAGGCATTACAATATCACCTAACCCTAAAAATGATAAAATAGAAAACATATTAGCAATACATCTTGTAGGATACAAAACTCATATTTTGCGTCCATTCAATTAAATATGATTCAATTGTCAACCCCTCAAAATTTTACTACCTTCCTGACAGTAAAATACCGTGCTATGAATCATGCGTTAGAAGATTGGACCTCGTTAATACTCGCTCAAGTTTTCACTTCTGAGGGGGTTGTTATTCATAAGGGAGCGCCAGTTGGTTAATAGAAAAAAGCAAAAGAGAGGAGCCTCATACCTCTCTCGGAGCAATTTCATTGCATGAAATCTCTTTTAAAATTTTTTTAAATTAACATCGACATTTCATGATCAACCAAAATGTAATATGTACTTTTAAAAAAGGAATAATCCATTGATAAATAATTTTGACACCGCTAGCTTCCATAATTATAAATGAAATATAAAAATAATACTGGAGAAGTATAGAGAAGGACATAGTAACGATAATTGAAGAAAAACTATTGAAAGGGGAAAATAGCCAAACAAAAAGATTATTTAAGAAAATAAATAATTTGAAACAATCATCTTTCCTAAAGTATCTACACCACAGGCTCTGGCAAATGCCCGCCGAAAAACAACTACTTCCAGGGCTAATAGTAAGCTGGACATTGAAGTATATCCTCATTCACTTCTAACAAGGAAGCTCCTTATCTATTTATTTATGTATATACACGGCCAAGCCGAATTCAGATATAAGTAGTACAGTGCTTTGTAGTACTTGATGCAATACAGTGGATTCAAAGTAAATTATAAGAATAATACAATTTCAAAGTAAGATAACAAGTAGATTATTTAAGAAAAATTAAAATGTACAACAATATGAACTAATATAATTCTTATAGGCAAGTAACACTAGACACAATACAACAACACAAGCCGAGAGCGAAGGTATGGTAGGTAGGTGAAGAATATGGTTTTTAAAGCGGCAAACGGATACATTAAAGATTTGAAGGTTATTTAAAGAGTTAGCCAATTGAAGAGTTCTGGGAATAAAGCTATTATATGAATAATTGAATCTGCGAAAATAAACGTAAAACGTTTGCACCTGTCTAGTTGAAAGACTGGGGACATGTAAAGATATTTTGGAGAGAAGCTCTGGGCTGATACCTAGTCCGTTAATAATTTTGAATAGAAGTATTTAATCTGTATGTTTTCTGCGAGCCCCAAGAGGAGGTATGTTCAAAATGCATTCCAATGCAGTATAGTCATAGTTTACACGCATTTTGGGAGATGTGTTCGATGAGAACAAAGAATTTAGCACTTGGATGCATTCAACTACATACCATTTTGAGAACTCCAGTTAGATAGGCAATCTATATCGTTTTGTAGACACAATGTATCAGCTTCCCTTTTAATTATTTCGAAACATTTCAATTCGTCGGCAAATAGCAAAGCTTCGCTTTCATGGAATGATTCGATCGTTGATAAAAAGGTTAAATAACAGTGGTTCCAAATGTGAACATCCGATGTAACTGCGATGGTATGAGAATAGTAACGATTAACTAACAATTTGCGTTCTTTCCGTAAGATACCTCTTCAGCCACTGCAATATTTGCCCATCAACACCATATAAACAGAGTTTATGGATCAATAGATACTTTGTTTTTAATAGGGGAGCCCACGGTGGAAAATGGGGATTTACTCGAGCGTCATAGAGACATATTAGGTTGCAAAGCTTAGATGATAAGAAGAAAAAATGATAACGTGTTAGGAATCACACGTTAAAAGGTAAGACCTCGTTAGTCCTCAGCTCACACAAGTTTCTCAACTTCTGAGAGTTGTCGTTCGTATGGGAGCGGCAGCTGATTAACGGAAAAACAGAACAGATTTCAAAACAGAATATATAACATTTCATTGGTGGGGGAAGCGGTTATAGATTTTTAAATATGTAAAAAAATACTGTTGCATGGACATACTCGAGCGCGTCAGATATTGATAGCATCAATGTACTAGGTATTTTTAATAATGTTCGTATGTTAATCTGATCGTTTGCGTGATGCGGGTGGTTGTACGTAAGGGTTGAAAGTGAAAAGAAAAAAAATTTAATCGAGCGCGTCAGATTTTCTAAGGGGGTGTTAAGTGTAACATTTTGAAATACTCAAGCACGTCAGATTAAGATATATATCGTTCATCTTTATGTTCTAGACGTGCTGTCTCATAATCTGACGATTATCTAGAGGGATTCGCCTAATCTGACAAAAACATATTTTTTAATTTTTTTTTTAAATCATTGAACTTAATTAATTGAGAAGCTCAGGAAATAGCATGCAAATAATTAAGTGTATGTTTTTAAGTAGAATACTTGTATTTATAAGAGAATAATTTTTAAAAAATGCTCAAAAAAATTAGGTATCACACAGCTGCTCGCATAAAACTTTATCGACGAATGTTTGTTATTTTGGCTTGCGGAAATTGTCAGATTATATATTTTCGTTATCCTTGAATTATTTCCTTCAAAATAAAAAAAAATTAGCTACGCTCGAGAATGTCGAAATGACTTTATTTTCTTACAAATTTGCTGCCCTCCCCTTTCTTTACGTCACTCTAAAATTATCAGATTACACTTTTTAGCATGTAATTAACTCACCCTACCTTAATCTGACGCGCTCGAGAATTTCTGATGATTATTTTTATTTTTACTAATCTGATCCTTCATCTTCCACGGGCGGCCTTATATATGGAGCTCATATTTAGTGGAGGTACTTAACCGGGTACAAGGTATCCCCCTGTATATTAATCTGCCGCGCTATAGTCAATCTCGAAATCCCCGCTTGGGATCCCCTATTATCTGTTTTGGTTGGAGTAATGTTTTAGAATCCAAAGCAATCACACAGCTTGAAATAAAAAAAAGGAAAATCTGGAATGAAGTCTGACTGATTGTAATCCCAGTTATACGTGAAATGATGACATTTTTCAATGATTTGACACAATTCTGTTGAAGGAAAGATAACTCATAACTATAAGCAAAAAAAAAGCAGTTATGTTATATCAATGAGTCGAAACATAGGTTATATTTACCTAACATACTGAAATGACCAGAGTTATGAAGACTGGGAAATACTAGTTTTCCAGGCAGACTAAGTTTTGGTGCTTCCTTGGCAACACCTCCTATGTGCAATTTCCTTGCAACTACTCCCACAGGGTTCTCAGCTGGTCTGGTAGCCACCTATAAACAAAGTTCAACATAGTGAGTCGTGCTAAATATTATTTTCAATGCAGATATCCGAATTATGTGCAGCAGACTATACAAGGTATGTGAAAAAAATAAGGTGAATGTTCAAATTTCGCCAGCTACGTACATTCGATTAGTGATTTTTTTTATGTTGGTACACTCGCCTCGACCATATGTTCACAGTTTCAGCTGTTTAGAATGTTTAGTTTGTTGGTGACAGGCTTAAAAGTTAGAAGTGTCGGCGATTTTCCGCTATCGGAAAAAATAGATAAAATATTTTGCATCAAATGTTCTGTGAAAATTGGAATTAATTGCTCAAAAACACTTGAAATGTTGACAGTGGCATATGGTGATTGTACTCTAATCAGAAAATGTTTACAAGCGGATGTCGGCATATCAGTTGGGTCACGCCATGCAATTTTTTCGAAAAATTTGGGCATGAAGTATGTGACAGCGAAGTTCTTTCCAAAATTGCTGAATATTGACCAAAAAAAAACCCGTCGTATGAGCATGCTCACGAATTATTGAATGACGAAAACGGCGATCCAGATTTGCTTAAAAGGGCCATAAAAGATGACGAATCATGGGTATATGTTTATGACATCGAAACCAAAGTTCAATTGTCCCAATGAAAGAGCCCAAGAGAGCAAAGACCAGCTAAAGCACGTCAAATTCGATCAAATGTCAAAGTTTTGCTTACTGTTTTCTTTGATTACTGTGGCGTGGTGCATCAGGGGTTCTTGCGACATGGTCGTAACGTCAATACGGCATATTTCTTGAAGTTATGCGCAGTTTGCAAGAAGCAATACGAGTGTTGCCTTTTATATTTCGGGATTAGAGAACAAAAACAAATATTAATAATCGAAAATCACTTTGTTTTTTAAAATATTCCCCATGAAGATCTATACACTTTCGCATGCGTTTGAACCAATTGTCGAAGCACTTTTGCACTGTGATTGAGGCATCTCCAAAACATGCATTCTAAATGCAGCAATCGCTTCTTCAGGTGTCGAAAAACGTTGACCTCTCAGTTTGTTTTTTACGTACGGGAATAAAAAGAAGTCATTCGGTGCCAAGTCACGACTATACGGCAGATGATTCATCAAATCGATGTTTTGGGTGCTCAAAAATGCAGTTGTTTGAGCCGATGTGTGTGAGCTCGCATTGTCGTGGTGAATATTGATCCGTCTTCGGCGGTTGGTTTTCCTGATTTCTTGGAAGACAATTGGCAAACAAATGGTTGTGTACCACTCAGACTGTTCTACGTTGTTCTAGTGGTACGGTTGCGACATGTCTAGTTTTTCCGAAAAAACAGGCGACCATTTGCTTGGAAGTGCTTTGTGCGCGAACAACTTTTGTTGGATTTGGCTCATCTTGAAACACCCATACAGTCGACTGCTGTTTACTTTCGGGCTCATACGCGTAAATCCACGATTCATCACCTGTCACGATGTCAGACTTGTTTCGAAGCACCGCGATCTATTTTTTAAGCATTTCCTTCGACCAATCGACACAAGCCTTCTTTTGAGCAACTGACAAATTGTGTGGGATTCAACGGCGAACAAATTTTTTTGATTGTCAAACGTTAATGTTATATTGAATGTATGCTGGTCCCACTACTGCCTAAGGCTGTCTCAATCTCTCGATAGGTCACATGATGATCTTGCAATATCAGTTCGCGCTCAGCATCAATGGTTATCGGAACAACAACTGATTTTGGACGACCTTCACGAAATTCGTTTTGGAGTGAACTACGACCATGATTGAATTCACCATACCATCGATAAACACTGGTCCTTGATGGAGCTTCAACGCCAAAAACTGAATTAAGTTCATCCATGCACCGCTGCTGAGTTAATCCACGTCGAAAGTTGTAAAAAATAATCGCACGAAAATGTTCACGATTTAATTTCATTTATGGGCCGAGATGAATCTTTAAAATCACTGTAAACAACACAAATAGCGCGCGTATGTCAAATCGTTCTGAGTACGTATAAGCTCAAAAATGTCCAACTTTACGATAGAGCTGTCAGTTGCCAAATTACATAAAAAAAATAGTTTTGAAAGTACTTTTATATGAGCATTGAATTATGCAAAAAACATTTTTCTATTCAGTCAGTACTTTAAACATTCGTTATGGAATGTTTAAAGTAAATGTGTAAAGAATATCATTCACAGGATTTCAACACAGTATCGTATATGTTTCAACTTGAAAGTAGTTGTTTTGGGAGGGTTTTCTTTTCCAGTTTTTGTCTGAAAGTTACTTTTTTGCATGATCTACACATCTTTGTAAAGAGTTAATTTTGAAGCTGATTGCTTTCTGCCTATCTTTGGAAGATTCCCATATATTTTTGTATAAAGATGGAGAAGTAGAAGTAGAAAAAACACCCCTTTCAATTCAATAATCTATCGTTTTTTTCAACTCTCGATTTTGTGAATAAAGTTTCCTATTTTTTGAGACCATGTACCATGATCCTATCAAGTGAGCAGGTCAATCAACTTTGACTCAACATCATAATTTTGGTTTTACATACTATAATACAGAAAACCCCGGTTATCCGAGGTAATGGGGGGAACCCATCTCGGATAAATGATAACTCGAATAATCCGGATTTATTTATTATTTATGTTCCTAGATATGTGGAATGTAGATAAGTTCATTACAAAACAGTAAAATAATTATCTATTCACTTCTGTTTCATATTGCATCCTCTTTTTCTCGCTGCAATGTTCCCCCATCTATTAAGAAGGAGTTGACCAGCAGGTGTCGCCTCTGGTTGCTGCTCAATATAAATTAAAGCAGCAAAACCTTCTTGATGGGACATCTTAGTGGCAGGCTCTTCATCTACCATATTGTCATCGACTTCTCTGGTTTCCTGCAAGGCATCCGTTATTTCTCCGATACGTAGTTCTTCTTCTATGTTATCTGCTGTAATCCATTCAACGACACCTTCTCTTGTCACATTCTCGCAACCCTCTAATGCTCGCATTACTTCAAAGAAACTTTTTTCTTCTTCCTTGATTTTATCTGTCTCATTGACAGAACCGGGACCTTAACGGCTTTTCAATTTAGAAGCCAAATCATTCAATGGAATACCTTCTTCACTGTCATAAGAGTCCTCAGAGTCAATAACTTTTGACCAAGATTTTTGAATAGTGGAAGCGTGCACAGAATCCCAAGCTTGACGCACCCAGTACATAACATCGGTTAATCTGGAGCTCGGTTAAACGCATCACGGATAAACGGGGTTCTACAGTACTTTCTTGCTTACCCTCGATGGAAAACTTAGGAAATTATCATGTTCTGGAATGTTTTATTCTGTCATTGCATATTTGCCCTTTAGCAATGGATAAACCTTTTTACTAATACAATTAATGAGAATTATTTTATAAAAGAAGCGAGGAAATATATGAAAATCAATAAAAATCTATTCATTTTTCAAAGAAAACTCAAGAGAAACATGTTATTTGGCAATAAAAAACAATGAATACCTACCTTTACCATAACATTGGCGCTGAAAATATATGATGAGAAAAATACCCAGAAAACATCATAAATGAGTAAACCAGTTAACAGCAAAGTAGATACTTTCAAACTAGGCAACCTGACGAAAGCAATAAACGCTACACACAAACCCATTCCCATTGCATCCATTAGCAGCCAGTGACCTGAAACGGTTCTGCATTAAAATAAATGGGTTCCTAGTTACAATAATGTTCAATATGATATAATTAAATAGACAACACACGGACAATGATGTTTCCTTTTCCATAGTAAAAAATATTATCAGAGCAAGTATTTATGTTTTAAAATTTGATGTGAAAACATGCAACTCCATTTCCTTCGAATAGATTCCCAAATGGATGGAGATATGACTCAATTATTTCTTAACTATTGAAGTAAATGAAAAATAAATATTAAATTTTTATTTTATGTTATATCTAGTATATGTTTTTATCTTACCCGTCAATACCCATATACAAACTATGAACACAGAGAGGGAAAAAGAAAATAATTCTGCGGCAGTGAATCGACCACACATTCCAAACGAGATTTTATTGCCATCCGAACAAGGTCCCATAATATATTGACACATTGGCAACAAGAGAAAGGCAAGAGCTACAGTTGCAATAACTGAAAAAAAATTATCAAATGAACATTTATGGGATATTAGGTTGGTTCAAAAGTTTTGTCCGTTTTAATGTCGAGTGTTTTTGTAGCTCCACATCTCGATAAATATTCTACTGTGTCGTAGTATATATTAATTGATGGAGAATTTTCACCTAAGTCATCATTTTACCTACTTTCAAAGTTTATACTATTTACCAATTTCGTTCTTGTGAACTAAATTCAATAAAGGGGAACAATTCAAATCTATTTGATCATCGAGCAAAAATCCCAAATTTTAAAAAACGTGATTGAACTCGTGTCCCTCTGTCAAAAGATGGTTTGCAAATATTGAATTTGTTTTCTCATTTAATAAACTACTTCTATGCTCTTTTATTCTTTTGGAAAAAGTTCTTCCGGTTTGTCCAAATTAAACAATTGAATACGTTATAATGGATATTCATCAAGTAAGGATGAGTTCTATTATTGATTTTTTAATGATTCAAGTTGTCAATCAATCAAAACTGTACTGTACTGTCCAAGAATTAATCCTTATTGACAAAGAGATGAGTGCAATAACTTGTGATACAATCCATAGTGTCATATATATAAAAATTTAATGTAAGTATGTATGTAAGTATATAATTCAAAATATATGTTATAAAATTTTCGTATCAAAATAATTTTGTAATATAATTTTTAATAAAATGAAGGTTGGAGAAAGAGAAAAATTAGTTCAGTACATTACAAATCAGTAAGGTTGGGTTAGATCATTATGACAAATACAAAATGTAAAGCTCACTTAAAATTAATAAAATGATAACACAGTAGCACTGCTTAAGATTTTTCAATACTTTCAAATATTCTGGTAGGTGGTTATATATTTTTCTACTTTCATATATAACTGAATATTTTGTAAGAGTTGATTTTGGTATTGGCAAGCTAAGATTATTGCTTGGGTGCTACTGTAAGTGCAAGTCAAATTAATGCTTGAAGACTGTTATGAATCAGACAGTTTCCAAAATGAAAATACTGGTTATGGAAAGATTGTTTTTAATAGCTTTAATGTTTTTCAACAGGTTCAGTTATTATGTTAGTTATAATTGTCTGTTGGCTTCGAGTTTCATCCTCTTAGAATTTTGAATGGAATTCAGTTTCCACTTATTTCAAGGGTTAATTTAAATAATGTTGTTGAAAAGGCATTTCATGAAAACTATAGACTCTCTAGGCTATCAATCAATACACATTTCAATAATTTTTTTATTACAATATGTTCGACTTTTTGAAATACTCAACTTGTTCACAAATGAGGTGGACTTGTAATGCTTAGGGTTTCTTATGTGTACTCACCAGCTGTGCATATTGCAAATAACATCTGCATAGAATCAAAAAAGAAAAACATAACCAGCAAGGAGACACTTGCTCCTAAAGGTAAACATAGAGCCTGCACTGTGTCTAAAGTCTGTACATTATTTTCTGTGGAAACTGTCTGGGGAGGGTTCAACAGACAATTCGTTGTTCCGTTTGCTCGTTCTCTAGCCTCTTGTTCCATATTGAGACTGCGAAATGATCCATAAACAATGAGAAGCATAGATATAAGGAATGTAGAAACTCTGCTTGAGTCCATTATCGAATATGCCCATTGATATTCAACTGTCTGGCTTTGACTATCAGCCATTTTGGCAGTTGTTCATTTAACACTATCTGGAAGTGAAATAAATATTTGAAGAAAATGAAAACTTCAAGCTTTCAATTTCTAATATCTTCATTAAGTAATGGATATTTCAATAACAATACATGACATATATTCGAATCAGACAATGATATTGTACATAATTACATAAGAAATGCAACTGTAAAATGATACTCTAATTTTTTGAAATGATAATATAAAGATCCTGTTATTTTTAACATCAACATACCTGGGCAAAGTTGAAACGACTATGGATATATAAACAACCATTACTTTTTTCTTGTTCGGTCCATTAATTTAAAATGAATACATCAATATCAACAGCCTATAAGCAACAACATCAACAATTATTGTTTATTATCGCCATCTTTAACAAATCTTTGAACAAATAAAAACAAAGCCTGACAAATGAAATGTCTTACCGAATCTGAAGAAGAAGATATTCCTGTCAAAATTCTTTGTGGTTGAGCATTGTTGACACGGAACATTCCACTAGTTCTCTGGTGCATATGATGATGTTATTAATGATATTAGTATCCAGCTGTGATTAACTGCCCATTCTGATATTTGTTTGTTTTAATGATCAATAGTTAATAAATAACAGTTTTTCAATGGATCAGAAGTTGTTGAAAATTGCAAAGGTGGCCATTGGAGTAATATCAAATCTATCATCCAATATAAATCTACGAATTTTCATATGAGCGTTATAATGCATTAGCTATAGTGGTTTTTATTGCCATTTCAGAAACAACTCTTCCGAAAGTTTTTGCTATCGTCGAATGATTAGTAAGCTGCATCACCGACTTTCACATCGAAATATTGAAATTGACTCATCACTCAGCATTCCTGGATCTGGTTGATACTAGGTTAACTAACCGAGGACTAGTAGAATGACTCTTCACAGTTTGTGACTACTAGAAACTTTCAACCTAAGTTAACTAATCAGTAAGTGGGCAACGGAAATGTTACCATTTTCTGACTTCCTAGGATTTCCTCAAGATTTTATCACTCTTTTCATTTAGTATTTTCACCTTCCTAAAAATTATGATAGAGAACTATATATAGTTGCAGGAAGGGCAAACTTTTTAGTTCACCTCGATGAGTTACAAAGTACTTTTCACAAAGAAAAATGTTCTATTTATCAGTACCTAGATTGTCGTATATAATAATTTAGCGTAAAAAAAGAACTAAATATTTATACAGATACTTATCTTAACGTTTTGGAGTCTAAAATCTACCCTGTCTTCAGAATTGAAAAAACTCTAATGGTTCACGCAGTTTTTTCTTCCTCTCGGTTCGCTTTATTTTATTTTCGCGAGCTAGCGATTTGGCGTTATATTTGTTTTAGTGTCAGTTACAACTTGTATCATTTGTGTTACCCCTCCAGAACGAATGAAAAAAAAAAACACTAAGAAACCACAGACAGGAAACTAAAATAGATTACAAGATTTTGTAGTATTGAGATATCAATATGGATCATTCCCAATCCGGTCATTAACATTTTCAATATAGGGAAGGAAAGATTTACCCTTGCCTAGCCTAGCTGGGGTTCTTTTCTGGGTCGAAATCCCTTTCGCTGTACCCATTCGTTTTGAGGTAGACTCTCAGGTTCACAGATATGTCGTGCTCTCTCAACAAACTCTCCAATTAATGTCTACCGCAGTAGTTTGGACTACTACTGTGATCTGCAGGCATAAAAACCTGCAGATCACAGTAAAAAAACCAGGCAAATAGCTTTGGCACACTTATCTCCGGCCGTGAAAGTTAACATTCTTCAATGTAAGAGTTGCCAGAGAAACTATGAGAATCGCAGGGGATCAAATTTGGTGAATACGATGGCTGATACGGTCTACTATGAACCAGCAACGACGAGTGAGCAGGCGTTTTTTTCCTATTGCTTCTCGAAAGTGGCGCATAACTTTAAGATAATACGACACGGTAATCGAAGGAAACAGTGATTGGATTTTAATTTCAAAGTCATATCCATATACCCATGATTCGTCGCCAGTTATGACCCTTCTGAGCAAATTTGAATCGTCGTTAACGTCATTCAATAATTCCTGAGCGATGCTCATGCGACGGTTTTTTTAATAACTAGTGTCTCGTTTTTCATTTTTGCCTTCTAGCAAAAGTTATAAACAAGTTACAATTGTTGCAATGGCAGCTTCTACAACGCCTGTTCGAATAGCTCTGTTTTTCATCAACTCAGTTTAATTCTTTTTTTTCGTATTCGGTATAAAAAGTCTAGTTATCGGATTATCGCAAGGGGTACTTTTCCATTCAAAGACGGATTTGACTCCTCATACAGATTACAGAATGACAGGTGGAGAGTTATACACCCAATGAAAACTACCTACGTTTCTAATGAAAATCGATCTTTATTATTCTGATTGATTCGGCCGTTATTTGATGAAGATCCATAGTAATTTCATAAAATGCAACTCACGATTTGATCTTCACTAACTTACCTCTACAATTCTCATATACCTGACGTACCTCTTCAATTATGATTGCCTGAAGCATATTAAGTACCTCACTTCTACATCAATAATGTTACGTTTTTTCCCGTGGATTCACCAATAATTGACTACACTGAATAATCAAACTTAACTTTATTTCACTTCAAATACAACAAATACTTCAACTAAAAATTTACCTATTTTAATGTCTATCGCCTTACTAAATCACTTCGCGTACCGCACTGTAACGTCCACTTGACTGTCTATTGCCTTACTTGATCACCTCGCGTATCGCACTGTATCTTCCACTTCAATGTATACTTGACTGTCCGAATACGCTTGCAGTCAGCGTTTAAATATCGCAATGGAACATCGTAGAATTTTCGCCGAAGTTCCATCGACATCGGTAGCATGTTTCTTGTTGCTTCTTGAGCAGCAGATAACATTGGGCATTCCCACGCTCTCAGCTACGACACGTTTGGTTTATGGTTATCAGTGGCGGCCAGCGTTACTTTCTTTCGGGCATGATCTACAACAATAATAAATAATACTTCCTCGGTTTTTTAAGAAAGCAAGTTCAATAATGGTGATCTATTCAAATCCAGTCATCATTCATTGAAATGTTTGGATTCTTAAGTTGATTAATTTTCATTACTTCCAAATAATTCAGTTTCAAATCTTTATTTTCTATGTGTAAAATTTTGAACTCTTCGTTGAAGATATGATTTTCTTCTAATAGATGATTTGAATATGTTGAATTTGTTTTCTTATTAACACAGGCCATATGATATGTGCCTCGATTCGATTCCTAAATGTTCTGCCAGTTTGACCAATATATACCTTAGGACACGTTCCACACTTTAATTTATATACTCTTGACTTCTCGAATTTGGATGTTTTGTCCTAATTATTTTAAAAATTAACAAAACATATAACATTCAGTTAAATTGTATATAACAAAACAGTAAATTTGCAGGTATTATATTCGTTTTATCTACAGTATAGATTAATTGTGTAACACATATATACATATATTCACCCAAATACACAAATAACAGAAAAATCATAAAGGATTCACAGATACTTATTATAGTGCCTGATCGACCTTATAATAGCATCTTTCAATTAAAAAATGTTTAAGTCTTTTTTTAAAACATGTTAAGGTTCGACTCTCTCTTACATAGTCTGGAAATTTATTAAATAATAACAGACCTAGTGAGTTTGGAGAGTTTTTAGATAATTGGACCCTAGAAAAGGGTATTTTCAACTGATTTTTTATTCTTGTGTCATGTTTATGAATGCTAGATCTGGTTGAAAAACTGTTATAGTTACTAAATATATACACACAAACTTCAAAGATAAAGAGTGATGGTAGCGTCATGATTTTACATGTTTTGTCGAGAGGATAGACTAAACATTACTTTTGTGCAACAAATACATTATTAGCTCTCGAAGACCTTCCTCTGAGGGAGATGGCATATCGAAGTCTGGAGTCTACTTGGGCATAGTAGAGCATTAGCAACTGATCATTAGACAGAACTGATCTCAAATTACGTAATTGATAGGAAACAGAATTCAATTTATTGATTAAGATTTTACAGTGTTCTCCCCAGGAAATATGTTCGTCTATACATATATAATCCAAGAAATCGGACGGTCTTATCAACTGACTGTAGGTCTCCAAAATCAACTACACTAGCTTCTTTTTGTCTATTGTGAAAGCGTATACATTTTGTTTTATTTGTATTTAGACGAAGTGAGTTGGCTCTAAACCACTGACCCATATCAAAGGAAATTTTTTTACATTCCTGTAACACTACAATATTCAGCCCTATCTGATACAATAACTGATGTATCATCAGCGTAAACAATAATTGAGCTATCACATATCTTCACAATATCGTTGATATATAGTATAAATAAGGTAGGTCCTAGGACCGAACCCTGAGGAACACCTACTTCAGAATAGTTACCTGTGGTATATAAATATTAGCGTAAGAAGCAACTTGTAGTATTCAAATCACTATTTGAACGAAACATGCCGTGATATATTTTTCAAATGAAGTTTGTGAAGATCAAATCGTGATATATTTTTCAAATGAAGTTTGTGAACAAACTTCAACTTCAACAAACTACAATTCACGATCAAATCGTGAGTTGTAGTTGCCTCTTGGAATATTTTTTTCAACGATTTTATAGATTACTTTGGAAAGTGCTGTTATTCAATTCTCATTGAGAGAACCTATCGCTAGATTTTATAAAAATTTTCAATAATCCAAACCATAAAATGACCTTGGTGTAAATCTGTAACATTTTATTTATGCATGGCAACTGTACACACTTTTGAACCTTACAGAGAAAGAAACTTCAAATTTGGCCGACATCCAACTTGGAGATGGTTCAAAGCTTTTGTGTGATTGGGAGGAAATACAGAAATACTTCGAAGAATGCCCGAACAAAAAAATCATTAGTCCAAAAATACTTTTTTAAATCAACAGCTCTCTCTTCATATACTGAATAGGAACTTCTCTCGAAGAATCAGTTATATTTCAGGAAGTCCCTACTCAGACTTGAACAAGTGGATACCGATTTACCGCGAGATATTTTCCAAATATAAATAGACTGGGTGTTATTATTGTACCTTCTTACTAGTTTGACGCAAATACGATTAGGTGCAGTTGCTGATTTTCAGTAAAGGTTCATATGTTAAAATTTTTTGCTGTTTAGTAGCAGTGGTGAAACACAATTTGAAGCACGAAAGGTAAGTATTGCCCTTAAAATAATTTCAGTATTATCCATTTTATTATTTCATTCAATACATTACATTTTTCAAAAGGAACATTAGACTCGTCCAAAATAAATCCTTTGTTTTGTGCCTACGTCTTGCGAATAAACAAAATTAGTGTGTTTCAAGATTCTTTAGTTCAAATGAAACTGAAATTTTTGAAAATTTGTTATCAAAAATTGTAGACTGATGAATATAATATTTTCAAGACTGAAAAATTCAACTTTATAATCAAGTAAAAATATACCTTGACAAATCATAGGCTTTCACAATTATTCAAAAAGCATTGCATCATGGACTAACTGAATATTCTGACAATTAAAGGATGTTGCATAATTGAAACTCATTAGGTATTACTGATGTTTCTAAATAACCGGAAAAAGTGTTGTGGTTTTCCACAAATATTTCATTCATAATATCAAATTTAACATAATGTATACACTTCAATTTAAGTGAAAAATCCTTCAATTTTTAACAATGATACCATCAAATAAAGGTGAGGTTTTCTTCGTGTTATACCAAGATGTGATCACATAATTTTATATCGGTACATAAGTTTCATGAGATACTACAATTATGTCGTCAAACAAATCGAACAGTGGGTATATAGCTTTCTTTATGTAAAATATTCTTCCTTTTCATTTTCTTCTTATAAAATCATAACAATTAAGTAGTATAAAATCTCAGACTTAATGATTCTACAGAGTTCCATTTAAAATAGCCAACATTCTCAGTGATAACAATTTCTAATTACGGTCCTGTCGTAAGTTATTTTGTAGTTTTTATTCTTTCAAAACTTCTTATACGGAATATTTCCGTAATTCATAATCCGGTAAGTAACAAAAATATTAGGTACATTTTTGCACGCCTAGGCTTTCCTTGGTGTCTATGGCAGGAAAAATAAATGTCTGTTAAGAACTGTCAGGCGTTTTTATGCACTTGTTCACATTTTCAAGACGTTAAAACGTGTCTGAAGACTGAAAGGAGGAGAAATACATACGTAAATTTCGAATTGAAGACGTTAATAACTATTTTGTTTACGAAACAATTTTTGAGATCAAAACTTATGCCAAGGGATGAGATGGACTCATTGTCTGTCTTTATATAGTACCGTAGATTAGGGTTAGGTTAGGTTAGGTCCAAAGTGAGTAGGTTTATTCGACCCTCCACCGCAACCCGCAAGGGTTCATTGTGACTAACATCTAGTCACACTCGAACAAATAAACCCAGCTTCTTAACGAAGCCGATTAGTTTGTATCGTGAGTGGTCTTTCAGGTCAGATGGTAGTAGTACGGTTCTGCCGAACTCTAAAAACCTGATTCGGTCCCCAGCAAGGCAGGCACAAAGTATATGTTCTGCTGTTTTATCGTTAATGTGGTAGTCGGATAGTCAAGGTGCAAGATTCTCACCTTGATACCCGCGACAACGTTCCCATATGAGGGTTTTTGCTCGTCAGCTTCACCTGACGATGCCTTAGATTCAATCTTGCAATCACGCCTCTGGTTTTGGTGAATCATCACTTGAGCGAAAACGTTTGCTAACCTGTTCATGGGGGTTTGTTAACCCACCTGGGACAGATTCTGCGTACGCCGCTCAAGAATTTGGTGCACGGCGGTTTCATAAGGTACGCCGCTCTTGAGGAGAGGACTCAGTCGTTTCCTGGCTGCACCACCAAACCTTTTTTTTTAAGTTTAGTTATTGGATCAGGAGTTGATGAGTTGAGAAGCTATCGCTCCTGATCTAAATTTACAGGGAGGTCATTTGGAGTAGTAAGCTCGACATCCATCTCCTCTGTACACTCAGCGTCAGAAATAATTTTTAAGTTTACTCTGTCCATAAAAGTACCACGAGTAGCTAGGGAAAGAAGGTCAATCACGGCAGAGCTCCGCTTTACCGAGACAAGGCAATGCTACGAAAAAAGAGCGCCCTGTACCTCGAAGGTTCCGTAGAGACAGCTGATAGGCTCAATGTCATTCATCCTCTCGGCACGGATACACACACCTTAAATTCAAGCCATCGTTGAGATGCCATTCAGTTAGGGAATAACCACAAGTGATTCTGTCATTCCCGTATCCAGCGAGGTTACGTGGAAGCAGGCATCCGATGGCCGATTTGCTCAACCCCCACCAAACCAATGCACTCACCAAAAACAGCATGCACAGTTTCAGGCAGTGAAAGATGAACAAGGACAGCCAAAGCGCCTAGTCCGGGGCGAGCGTCGTCATTCACCGTACAATACTCACATAGTGAATTTCTGTTTAACTGACAATAAGTAGCCGGCAATGTGAAAAAATGCCCTCGTTAAAGTTTTACCCAAGCAGAAAAAAAACAAATGAGTTTGAAGATCTGAGAGCAACAAGTATGTTGCCAACTTTGTCGATACTTCTAAAGAAGTCTATGGAAACACAGATCAAATCTCATTTACAATCAATTCAAGCAGGTTTCCGTAGGGGTAATATCTGAATGGCATCACTTCTCCACGTCACCGATGATATTGTTACGTTTTTTCTCATGGGTTGACCAATAATTGATTATACTGAATAATCAAACTTAACTTTATTTCACTTCGAATACAACAAACACTTCAACTAAAACTTCAACTATTATTCGAACGTCTATCGCCTCACTAGATCGCTTCGTGTACCGCACTGTAACTTCCACTTGACTGTGTCGATATGCTCGCGGCTAGCGTTTATATATCGTAATGGAACGTGGTAGAAAATTTGCCGGAATTCCGTCGAAATCGGTAGCATTATTCTCGCTACATCTAGAACGGCAGCGAACATCGTACATTCGCGCGCTCTTAGCTACATCACAATTGGTTTATGGCTGCAAGTGGCGGCGAACGTTATTTTCTCTAGGGCATGATTTACAACGATATCCTGAGAGCTGCTGTTCAAGGTTAGTGCACACTGCTAGTTCTACTAGATTTTAATCGTGCTTTCGACACAATTCATTACAATTTGTTACTAAACATGTTATGATATAAGTTTTTCAGAAAATTCACGAGTGTTAATAGGCAATCATCACAAGAAATAGACAGCAGAAAGTTGTTCTCGAAGATAAAAGCTCTGAATATTCAACAGTAAAGTCAGGTATTCCGCAAGGATATATACTGGGGCCTCTTCTGTTTTATATATTCTCCTCCCAGCTGTTGATTGGGAAAAAGCCTGCAATATTCATTTATTTCCTGATAATACCCAACTTTACCATAGTTTCCTTTCACATATGGTGGATGCATGCATTTCTTCTTATTAATAATGATCTTGAGGCTTTCGCCTTCTTATTAATCCTGATAAGTCAAAATTTATGTTGTTTGGAAGGAGATATCAGTGTCAAAAAGTAGAGGACTCTCAATATTACGGCAAATAATAAGCAGCTGAAAATGGTAAAGAAAGCAAGAAACCTAGGATCAATTATGGACACTGACTTGAGATTTGAAAAACACATAATTAGACAATTATAACGGGTTTACTGTAATCTGATAATGACATTTAATAATCGGCATTTGCTGCCCATTCAAGTTGAAAAATCATTATGTGAAACGCTAGTTTTATCAGCCTTAAATTATGCCGACTCTCTCTACTGTCCTAATTTAACAACACTTTATAAGAACAAGATACGGATACTTCAACTCATGTCTGAGATTAATTTACAGTATTAAATATGGATAATAGAAGAAAACATCATGCTGTTATTCTTTATCATAAAATAATAACAAAAGTGTACCTCCCTTTAGAACGGAATATTTTAGACTTTAGACGGTCATTTGGCTAACAAATATATTCTCTATGCAATCCAGTTTTGAATAGGTACTATAAGAACACAAAATGTTAACAAATTCAGACAATTTTACAATCTAAAATTTTATAAGAATGTTTTTTTCAAGTGTTTACAATATATTTTTTCTTTGTATTAGGTACTACCTAGGTTTGTTTAGGGTTATTAGGGTTAAGCGAAAGAATATTTTTTGTCGTGTTTAAACAACAGAAAATAAACTTCCATACACAAGGTGAAACATAAGTACGTTAAAATATTCAAGTGACGTATTTCCGAGACAATTTTAAGGAAAAAAGTCTATAATAACTTGTGTCCGGAAATGCTTCCTTTCGGAGATACAGAGTGTTGAAATTGAATTTTTTTGTTCGTTTATGATGCACTATTTAGAACTTTTGGTGTAGTAATGAATATTACTGGAGTTTTACTCCAACACCAAAACATTATTTCAACACCTCGACACGTGTTTCGATCACCAAGTGAAGTGATCTTCAAGAGGAAGATTAATCACTTGGCGCCCTAGGAGCTAAGTAATATGTATCGATATAGAAAATTGTAAATATCTCGAAAACGATCACCTCAAGCGATGTTGCGGAAGGCTACCTATTTTACTTGGAAAAGATGTGGAAATTAGGTTTTTTCATGAAAAGTATGAAAAGTTTACTGTCAAAAAAGTTAGGACAATATGAAATAAATAAATATAACGTACGCAGCGATAGATGTTTCATGAAAATTAATACGGAATTATGATTTCCACGTCAAAAAAAACCCCAGGCACCAAATTTCGTGCAAATAACTTATTCTTTGCAAAAGTTATAGAGACTTTTTTTCTTAAAATTGTCTTGGGAATACGTCTCTTGAATATTTTAACGTACTTCTTTTACATCCTGTATAAACATTAATATCTAATATTTATTGTATTCTTTTGAAAGTGGAAGTAATATTGACGACTATTATTATTTTTTTTAACGGATTGTGCGCTGGTCAGGTCCTATCCCCTGAAGCCCCGATACATTCGGGAGGGCGCGATAGCATTATCAACCAACGACTGCTCCCCACGCCGTGGGGTAAGTGATCATTGGATCCGAGAATCTTGTGCCCTGAGCCAAGAATGACAGCCTTTTGCATCCGTTCGGCTAAGATTTCTGCCTTATTGCGGCAAGCCGGTATGATTTTAAGAGTCGAGAGTAGAGAGGACA